CAATGTTCTGTTCAAATATGAGATAACATCGCTCATCGGTGAATGCCTTTCTAATTATTCTCCATTCGGTAACACATTCTGCATTATCTTTTTCTCGAAACGCTAAAGGGATTTCACCACAGAGCTCCGTGTGTGGATCTCGGTTCTGTTTGCATTTCTAATGTCATTCATGTTCATTTTGAACCACAAACTGGGAGAAAAAAACGCATTCATACAAATCCGGCGTGAATAGTTCGTATTCACGATACCAATTGATAAACGACGAGTAATTCAGTCAAAATTGTCAAATCAAATGGACGCGGCAATAACAACCAAGTACGGTGACCTTTTCAATGATTGACAGTACTGGAAAAGCATTGGGAGTGGTCAACTGAAAAGTGGGAGTATTTTAGAAAGTGATACTTTTCCGAAGTGTGATATTTCAAGAAGCATTTTTTAAAGAAATGAATGTGACTGCTTTGAACCTCGGGAAATTGAAACAATACACTGTTTGCGGATGCAACGGTTAACAGAAAAGCAATGCAATGATATTGTTTTGTCCCACTTGAGCAGATAAATGACCATGTAGCGAAATAGGCAGTATGTTTACTCGTAGTAGGCACACATCTGGCCGGTCTATGAGTCGGTGAGCAAGCACGGGGACAAAACACATAAACAGCCAAAGAGAAAGAGAGCAACATTCGAAACCAGTGTCACACGTCAGAATGCGATCAAACAAAGCAGTCAAACGGTCAGCGAATCAAAGAACGCGAACAGTTCAATGCAAACATCTGAAGTGACTGAAACGGATCGATACATGCGTGTGTTTGGTAGGAGGCAGCATCGGTCAATCAATCAATTAAACATTCAGATTATAGGCATGAACGGAAAACGTTGCAGTCAACTGTAGATCACAACAAGTACTACTATCATTTAGATTAGGACTATTAGGGAATGCGGACTGAACCTCATATGACAATGCAATACGATTGGCGGGGGGTAACCGTTCTTATCACCCGGGGGCTAATGTTCCAAGACATTGATAAGTAATATTTGTTCGGATAGCGAACTATAACATCACCGGGAGACAACGCAATTGAAATTTTTCCAGAGGAAGCGGTGACATTTCAGCTCTGACTTACCTTGTCGAACGATGAGTACGCTTCCACGGAACAACACCGTTTTCCTCGATAATCAATACATCTCGAGTGCAACTAAATGCCACATGACGTTCCTAAAATTAAAAAAAAGCAGTTCGAGGGGGAAAACAATTAGATTATAATGAATTGCATAAAGAGAAAAAGATACGGTGTTTCAAAAGAACTAACTAAATAGTGTCGCACCTGGCAATTGGGGTAGAATAAAGTGGACTTAATGCGACAGCTACACTACAATTCTATTTTTCTCACTGTACAACATCCCAGTTGATGGTTGAAGGTGGTTATTTTGTCGAAAAGAATTTCACTAACCCGATCGAACGTCCGGTTCACACTGTGATCTGAGGTCTGAAATGTTTTTCGTTTGTTCCATTTCCTATTAGGCGCAATATGGGCATCATTTCAACCACATACAACACAGCATAATTTGTTTTCCTCCAATGACCTTGAATCGCACGGGGAATGGTTCATATGTTGAGCCTTAGGTAGAACAGAAAACGGTGATCAGGTGGGTTAAACGAGGACAATGCCGGTTTCTGCAGCACGGTTCATAACCTGTCATAATAGTCTCACAATGGTGGTGTTTGCACCACCGCTGTTCATGGCTGTTTGACTGGTGTAGGATAGCTATCGCTCATTAGTGAAAATTCCCAATACCAGGGTGAAGAGGATATGCGATAAGACTACGTAGATAATCGTCCGGCTTACCTTTAAAGAACCCTGACCAGTGTTGTTCGAAGGGGGATCTGCAAAAAAAGTGAACAAAATCGAACTGTCGAATTACAAAGTGTTCAAAAAGTGGCCTGTACAACAGGAAGCGATGTAGATTACCATATATAGTTTTCCTTGCTATATATTTACGTATATATATATGTATGTATCTTTCAGAACAGATGGGTGTACATGGAAGAAATACTCAACAGGTGGTAGTTGGGACCTGTTATCTAACCAACGACCGGACGTAGTGGTATCTCAGTTTTATGCACTTTTGATGGTTCGTAGATCCGCGGGATAGGACCGTATTTGTTCTGATGACTTCGTGTTGTGTTTCACTGAGTATGTTGCTTTTCTTGAGTCCCGTGAGCTTTTTAGTCAAGTTGTTANTTAAGTAGATTTTTTATAGGGGTTCCTATGACTGGTTGATATGTCTCCTATTCACCAACTAATTCACCCAATTTTTCTTCGTACTCTCTTCTATCTATACCTTTTTTTAAATTTAAGATGTCCGAATGTCAATTTAACATTTCATTTCATTGCTATGTGGATAGTACGACAGTGCGATTGCTCCATCGTTTCACCGGCATGCTCAACTTCCTCATCGCTTTGTTGCGCAGAGTGCTGGCAGAAAAATTGCAACGAAACACCGCACAAATGGTCCGTGAGAGAGCCTCTGATTTCCGCCAAATCGGGGTCCTTGGACACGGCTCCCTCGGTTGTTTAGTTCAGATCCATATGGGATCAGAAAGTGCCATGCTTGCTCGACACACGTGCTGCTTTTTACACGGTGCACCCTTAGTCAACTGAGTCAGTAGAAGCCTCAGATAAGACAGTGAAGACAGTTGGCGAACACGAGCCGCAAGCTGACAGTGCAGTACAGCAAATCAAACTTTCTCCATCGACAACACGATGGACAAACAAACGGTGGCCAGACTGCACCATCGTTCTATCCATATAGCAACATGACATGTTAAATTGATGTTCGGACATTTTAAGTTGATGCTGTGATATCTTAAATTGGAAAAGGTATAGTATCGTAGTCGCATTACCCTGATCCGTGGATACAACAACGACAGCTTGCGATTTGAGCAGTGCTTTGATCTCAGTCGGTGGTAGGTGATATGTCCATCGGACGTGTGAGGTGCTGGCGCATGTTCGTCATGAGCTGTTGCTGTTTTTCTTCAGACAATGGACACTGTCGAATTCCGGCTTCAACCGAGGCTATGAAGTCGATCGGCTTTACTTTTGCGCAATTGACTATAAGTCCTTTCAGCAAAACCGATGCTCCTCTTGGTGTAAGTTGATGCGTTGAGAGATTGCGGATTAATTTGGCGTCCTCGTGTTTTGTCGGGTTCATTGACAGAAACTTCTTATTGAGTCTTCCCCTACCTTTGAATCGGCAAGTATTTCACGTTATTCAGATAACTAATAATTGAGTATTCTTGACGCTTTTGTTTTGAGATACTTGCATTTTTTTCATGCACTTGTTTTTTTTTGTGGTGAGCATCATCATCATCATTAGTTCACGGTGCATTCGCCGGCAGTAGGAATTGGCAATCATTCTCATCGGATCCAAAGATACTGGAGGGAGGGCGGGTGGTGGCATTTACCATCAATCTCCTGCTATGTCGCAACCATGAAAAGTCGCATTTTTTTAAAAATATGTTCCCACTTTTCAGCAAATCCAAACCAACCGTATACCTAACGATGTAGGTTCTGACTGTGCAACATCACCTCGCAGTATATCACATCTCGAAGCGTACAAGCTGTACTAGAAACGTTTGTTTGAAATGATATTGAGTAAACCCGACTAAGGACAGAATCGGATGTTCGACTTCCATAGGCTGTGTGAAACATAATAGTATTAAACAATTATTAATAATAATAATGACAGACTCCGTCGATGTGGATGTTATGTTCACCGAGGCAGATGACCGTTAAAATGACAAAACGATGAGTCATGAGTTCATGTAGACCCTAAACCCTGTGAGTGCCGTCAGCAAGACCCTCTCCTGCTATGATTGAAAACATCAGAGAATGTGACTGTCTTGGTCAGTGGTATTCTCTTATTTTGTTCATTTTTGTCCTTTTATTTCTCTGATCTTTCAAAAGTTTCACCTTATGAGTCTTTCGAAAAGAGTATGTGTTAAGAGAAGGCAAACGAAATAGCTTGAGATTTCTGAAACGGAATAGAATGACAATACTGAAATCGGATAGATCAAACAGCGTCCACATTCGTAACGCTGTGCACACCGGGGAATACGGTGATTCCTCTTGATACAGATCAGGAATTTCAAAAAAAAAGGATGGAACGCGGAAGTCTGGCTTTTATCCTGGAGATACTACAAAACGAAACGGAATAGACGCGTCCGATACTAACCTGTGACCTCGGATGAAGGAGAACCGTTGGACACGATCGAGGATGAATCGAAAACAGGATCCTGGGCTCGAGGCGAATGCAGTGCACTCGGTAGTTCCACTGGCTCCGGGATCTGAAAGCCCAAATGCGACAGCGTGGCCTCAGCCGCCAGACGTTTGGCCAAACGCTTGTTGTACGCCGGTGGACCTTGAATGCAACCCGTGCTCAGACGAACCTGTGAGACCGTGACAGGAGAAATTGGGTCCATGAAAAGGTTTTGAGCAAGAACGAAGTTCAAACGCAATTTGAAAACAGGATAATACGGATGAAAGAAACGTGGCGTGAGGCACTGTATGGTATTGCATGTAGCAGAAGATAGGAGTACCACTTTCGAGTGGGTAAATCGTCGTATCCCACAGGCGTTATTTCCTTCTCATTGATCTTTATCATTTAGGCAATTATCACCTGTGCTCCACGAAGCTGAGGCATCCATCAGAAGTCGGACCCTGAAAAACCTCCCGATAAGCGAGCTAAACCAGGTTGAGGTAATGGCTGTCTAAAGGCCTTGCGGAGATGGTAAACTAAATCAACCAAGAAGAGGCGTGTGAACGATACAAACACCTTCATGGTTGTGGTAGTGGTTACCGACTCAACTGAGCATCGAGGTGTATTGGGCAATGTGGCCTTTTGATCCCGTCCGAAGAGCGTATGATCCGATGGACTGGGCACCAGCCACCAACGGAACGCGGTTTTCACATACCTCCCGCTGCCTAGTGGGTCAAGCTTTGGTTAACTAAAGGCTCCGGTTGTGATTTTCCTAAATAAATTCGCCTGCCTAGACTTGAGAAACGTGGCATTATTCCGCCCACTTGCAAACCAAGGAGCTTTCTCTTTTTTATAAAGATTACTGTAACATGATTTGTTTGGCACACAGTTTGGCCTCAGACGTGTCTGAAATAAGCAAATAGATGTCTTTGAGTCAGGTTGCTGATAAGTCCGAGATTAGGCCATGTCCGTCCCGCCGAAGTTCCTATGTCTATGTGAGTAAAAAAAGAAGCCAGCAGGCTTTGGGAACAGCACAACAAGTCACCATCCTTTACGAACTGTTCATCGCAAACAGTAGCAAAATTAGTTGATTTTTTTATCCACTAGTACAAACTCATATAGTGGCTCAATTTTTCAAGTCCCTCGTGGCAATAAGTGCCCCCGAAAGCTGTCAGTTTTAATCTCAAACCGATTCATTCTTTCACAACAGATAACTTCCTGTTGTCGGATCGATAGCATCGAATCCGAAAACATTCACTTTGCCTAAAAGATTTTAACGAACGGCTGCATGCAATTGGTGATCCAAAATGTTGTATGCTTAACGTTCCGAGGAGCACTGGTCAGCTGTTCTATCCTCTTGGGAACTCATCAGCATTGTACACAATGTCTGGATCCCTGTCCGGAATCCCGCGGCGCATGGTGGTGGAATCACTGCGGTGACTCAAAAATCAAACGCATGGCTGAAAGAGTGTTCCAACAAGTATGGAACAATTATCCATTGCTCTTTGTCGACCCTCATAAAAAACATATAGAAGAAACGCAAATACAGATTTTCAGATAAGGTTTATCACTGATTCGGACGTTTTTAACAGGAGTAGGTGGGTGGCAAAACGTTGCAAGGTATCAGTGACGTGATTAGATTTATACTACTCATGAGTAACAACTCAACTGCCAACTTCGTGGGAAACAACATACCACGCTCCAGAAACCCGCAGTGGAACAGTTAACGTAGAAATATATCTTTGAGGAGGATGGGCAAACTGTCACTGCTGACGATTTGAACAGGATGAACGAAAACGGTCGATAAAACCTATCCGACAATGCAAGCAACCTGTGAGTTTCAAAAGGAAAATAATTCCAATTGTTTCGATTGAGATAATTTAGCTCTCTGTTTGAAGACGTGATGTGGCACATACCCGATATGTGAATTCCGGTGGGGGACGAGTAGCGGGTACGGGAGAAGGACGACTGGTAGACTCGGGGATCGTGGATAGAAGCTCAAACACGGGTGCAGGAAGTTGTTTCGCCACACAGACAAAGTGTAGACGTTGAATTGGGTTGATTTCTTGTCCATATCTGAGTTCAGCTCGATCGCAGGCAAGACGCCACTGAATCTAGTGGCAAACAACGACAACGATTATGATGCGAAGATCAGATTGCGACAGAACAGTAAAAAAGCATGCATATTAAAGAGTACCAAGTGAAATTATTATTTTAAGCAGTGCACAACAAAAACATTTTTACGTAAATTGTCACACGGTAAAAGGGATTAACAATATGGGTTAGTGGACCGACAGTCTTGTTGTCACTGATCGACATTCTCAAACCTGAGTGACACTGGGTGGCTGACTGGATGAGGCTCTAGAATAGAAAGTGCAAAATAAGACCGGCGGACAGTAAATGTGCCTAGGTGGTGGTATTCGGATTCCAGGACCTAACTAAAAACTGGGGAACACGAGAGGAAATTTCGCATATCTAAAGCTAAATTTATACCAGTATCACCACTATGACGCCTACCGGTCTCTCTCTCTCTCTCCCTCTAACCGGATAGGTTAATAATGACAAAGTTTATCGTATTTTGCCTAACGCTTACATGATAGCCTCTCCTCACTGAGGACATTCGACCATCACTATCTTCGTAGTGGTTACAGAGTTCATGATCTGGTGTAGAAACATGAAGAAGTTAAAAGCCGCATCCGTTTCAACTAGTCATTCCGGACTGTCCCATTAGGACCTGAAGGCATACTAAGAGATATAATTCAGGAATAGTAGTGTCACGAATGGGCGGTACGTTTATTGATAATTCCAATAACTCCCACCGAACATAAAAGACAAACGGAACATTAAAAATATGTATGGTGTGAAATGGTGAGAAAATGACTCCCCAGCCCTATCTATGACTTCGTTCGTAACCATTCACTTGTACCCTTAACATATTTTCGATATAGCTTATCTTTCTTTGTACGGTTCTGTATATGTGATGGGAGGCGACCACCGTGAAACCAGATGTATGCCACCAGGAAAACTTCTGTTCAGTCATTCATATACTATTTACTGCATGATATATATATATATATATATATATATAT